TATTGACTTTAATTTTAGGAGATTTGATGATGGGAGCACTGGGCAGAAAGATGAGATTTTGGTTTCCGGGGTTGATGATGTTTTAGGGATCCTCAAGGCTGATTATAAGAATGCCTACTTTGTTACAGGTGCCTTTTTTTCCCTCCTGGGATTTGTTCAATCTGTTTTTATAATTATTCAATTCCCTCCATTTTTTTATTGCTCTAACTTTTCCGTTAAATTTGATAGCTGCATTTGAGATTGCTTTGTAGTTTATATTTGTCATTTACTTTAAATATGATATGAATGGATTCCATCTGTTTTTTAACTTCTTTTCCCCATTGTAATAGGGGTTTTCACTTCTACAATTTATGCTGACGATTGTATTTTTGAAGATCCAACTATTAGATTCCGAGGTAGGATGAATAATCATTGATAGAGATACACTATGAATAGCAATTTTATATGTTTTCCTTGATTGATGTTAATAGCACTCAATTTCTTTCTAATCATCGATTTTTATCAATCTACATTTGCAAAAAATGACTTCTTAATTGTCTTTTTTTTCATCTTCCTAATTTATCATCTGTGTCAACTAAGCTCAATCAGTTTTTAGCATCGTATTTCAATCAAGATGGCTCTCCCTCCTTTCTTCGTCTTTTTAGTAGGATTTATTTCACAGTGGTATAACTGAATGTTTTCCTATTTTTCGCCACTTTATTTTTTTTGATTTACGTTCATGGATGCTTTTGGATAATTGGATTTGATAGAATAGATCATGTCCTCCTTTAATCCTTACTTGATGCCTTTTAGTATCTAAACTCCAAACTTCTAAACTTACTTGGATTCTCAATTTTTCTTTTCGACAATACAACTCATTTCCGTTGATGACAGAGGATCAAGAAATATGCTAGTATTCTTGTTTTGCTGTTACTTTTCTGAGATCTTTCATATGTTCTGCATACCTTTTCAATGATGGTAACTCAATTTTCTCCATCATTGAGCTAATGTCTGGAAATTGTCTAACTTTTATGGTTTTGCTATTCAGGTAAACAGCTTTATTCCCGCAACTTGAAATTGCTTCTTCCTTTCTTTGATTCTCCATCAATTGGATTACAAACAATTGAAAAGGTACGTAGTCTTTCTTTACAAATGATATTTCACATATATGAACTAAGATTTGATTAACAATTGAATATTATAATATTTGATTCTTCATAATCAGTTCCCTGTAAACAAGTTTCCTTTATTTGAGTGGACATTATTTAAACTATACATTTATTGTCATCTTATCAAATCTGTTGAGGAAAAGATAGCAGGGTAAAACTGTTAGAAGATCAAGCGTTAACTGGAGAGAATGGGATTTGCCTAATTGTTTTTTTCGCATTCATTTTAGCCTTAAAGTGATATGGCTAGAAACATTTTCTCTTCTTATTTGGTGTTTATCTTGGTTAGATTTGATTTACCTAGTTATAAGTGACATAGAGTGAGCTTGTAGTTGACCACTTGTCCTTTGTGCAGGGCGTAAATTTGGAAACAAATTTTGTGCTGGCAAAATGGAGATTAAGGTGTATACTTATCACTGTTTGCGCACTGGTTTTAGATAATCAAAGGAGCTTCTCATTTTTTTGGATAATCCCGTGCCGTGAGAGAGATGAATTGCTTAATATCTAGAATTTTGCGCTGGCAAACATGGATATCTTTTATTTACAGCTAGTTATATCTGATTTGTAGAACGTACCTGAAACTTCCATGGAGGCCTCTCATTTCCATTGATGGAAGCACAATCTACGAATTGGATGACAAGTTTATGGTGAGAGATACATAACCTTATGCTGGACCAAAAAAGTCCACTAACCTTAAATTTTGCTGAAGTATGTTCTTGAAGTTTAACTATATTCTGACCGTGGCCATTGATGTCTATTTGAACAGATTGTTAGGCATACTGAGAGTTGGAACGTTTCTGCGCTTGAAGCAGTTGGTCAGATATTCACTCCTAGTTTTGGAAGCTCCAACGATTGAACACATTACTAGCATCCTTTCTGGTCGAAGTCAGGATAGCTAAAGTTGGCTGACGGTGATGGCAGCACATGCCATTGCCCTCTGTTGCCTAGCTGTAGCTTTAGCTTCTGTAAAAATTGAATGTCACGTTCGGAGTTGCTGTTTGAGGGTACTTTCTTTTATACAGTATCTCATTAAAAGTATTAAATTATTATAATTAAATTAATTTTAATTAGTACTTTATATAGTTTAATAATTGTATTGATTTGTAACACTATTTTAAGAGCAATTACTAAATAATTACACAATTTTTGTGATGATAAAATACTAAAAAATTTGCAATCGCATCACAGTAATCTCTAGCTTTTGCAACAGGGTTAGACCAAACAAGTATGCTATTTTGTTTTTCAAATAAATACAATAATAGTAGAATTAATAAAAATTTGTGTCATAAATGCGATTTAATTATTACAAAAAATGAGTTGTCCATCCAAATGATGTTAGGATACAAACAACATGAAATATTAAAGTAAAATTTTCTTCATTTTCTTAAATTCCTTCACTATAAAGCTAAGCATGTGTTTTCACTGGACGTAGAAGATTCACCTAGAAACTCCGACCTCAACTGCATCAGCAGCCTGCCGAGATAGTTAAGGCCTTCTCCTTCACGGCCACCACCCCAGAAAAGATCATGTGGTGAAGCTTCGACCAGTACAGACCCGGCAGTTGAAAGCAGCAAATAATTCAAATGAGGATATATTGAGAACTTGCATTTCAATGCCCTGTACATGACATCAATCTTGACGCTATCCCAATCAGATCTCACCTGCATTGCATATTTGCGTAAGATATTAGCTCACTCAAGTTCTCACATATATTTCTGACCAGGAGGGGAGGGAAGCAGTAGCATATATGAATTCAGCATAAAAACATCATATTTCTCAAGGCCATACATCAACATTCATGCATTATAATTACTTGATCTTGTATAATGAATGATCCAAGACAAAAGATGTATGAGGTATGAATATGAACTAATCCACTTGTAAGTAAAATTAAAATGAATCTATATCTAATCTAGCACAGAAGACTCAAATCATTTCCACTTTATACATCTGATTTCAACGTCCAGAGAAAATTATATCCATTAATAGCAAGAAAGTATTTGCATTAGATGCTACTTTATGCTATGCCAGAGGAAGAAAGTCTTAGCCCTTCAAGAAACAATTAATTTTCTGCGATATCAGAAAATAACAAATCTATGATGTGAATATTTGACCTCTTTAACAACATACTTTACTGCCTATACTTAGCAAAGTCACAATTAACTTGGCAAACAAATAATTAAGAATATACTAGTTTAGTATTGATGGACAACAAAAACATCTTTCAAGCTTTACTAAGATATGTTGGAGAAGAATTGTGACACCAAGATTATATTGTACAAAAGAAAATGTACATCCAGCATACCAGAGTAGGTTGCCCCCTCTGTATTGACCTGCCCATCCGTGCTGCTTCCTCTGGACTTTTTGCTGATTTTATCTTTTCAATGCAATTCCTTGCTACAGGATCATTCACACCAACAAATTTGTTTGCCTAAATTTACAAGAGACTTGTTAAATCTATTCAACATCAATATGACAGAATTAAACAGAAATAAGGATCTACCTGATAATAATGCTCTACACTTGGCCAGGTGGCATACTTACCATTGTCATCTGGCATTTGAATTGGATGTGGAGAAAAGTTTGAGAAGGCACCATAAGGATCCCATGTCTTATAGAAGAATATGATACTTGATTCATAAGGTGTAACTGTGGGATCAATTGCAAAAGTTTCATCCTCTGAAGGGATGATAGGTGTCAGATCTGGTATAGGCTGAAGAAATCCACTAATCAGCATATCAGGTCCAACCTGCAAATGCCAAAGGAGGCAACACAACAGATTTGGAAGGGAACGTCAAAAATAAGCATGGTTAGGAAACTCACAATCATAAGCCCTTTGATTTCAACATTTCAACTTAAATTGTAGCAACATCGTTTTGGTGTTTAGTCTATTTAGTTTCAAACACATAAATTTATCATCCATAATTTAAAAAATGGATAGAAGTATGGCATCTGATGCAATATGAACTTTTTTTTCTTTACTGGAGGAGTAATATAACTATATTAGCAAATTCACAACGTTCTGCTTTAAGGTGATAAAATTATAACAGCATTCTCTCATACCCAAAAAAAAAAAAAAAACGGTAATTAACTATTATGAAAACAAACCAAAATTTCCCCTCATTCTCAACCTAATGTCCCAGAAAAGCACTTAAAGCTCTGCAGCATCACAACTAGCCCAACCCCAAGGAGAAGGAATTACAGTCCCACATAGATGATAGAACCTTTCACATTGACATTCTGAACAAAATTTGGGGGTTTGGTTTCATTCAGCATTTTTTCTACAGAAAGGGGACTACTTGGCAAGAAAAATAAGGAGTTTTCTCTTAGTATGTTAAAGTAGAATTTCTAAGACTTTGGTATGAAACATGAGAGAGGTAGGGAGAGGGGTGAGGGAACCACAACAAATTTAGTAAGACTGCTATGTCACAGACACAGTTCCCTTGAGAGAGGGAACTGTACCCTGTATTCTGTTTTAGCTATGGTAGTTAAAGATGACTGAAAGTTACTGATAAGATAATCATCAGCAAACATATATAAAAAGAATAAGGACCAACCTGCTCATAACAAACATCAATTAAATCTAAGGCTTGTGACATCTCGACCATTCCAAGTTCACCCACTGGAGAAGGTGCATACTTTCCACCAATAATTTTAGGAGCAACAAAGGCAAAAACCTGCTCAAAAATATAACAATAAGTGAAAAACAACCTATCAACAAAGGTGAAAAGAGAACACCATACCATAATCACACATTTCCTAAGCAACACAACATAATTACTAGATTATGTTGGACTTCAAATCACTTATCAGTTATCAGTGTGCCAACTAATTGTAAGGGAAGGGGGAAGATCATTTCAGAATATCATATTTGAGTGAATCAGAAAACTTTGGACATAGTAGCAAACCACATGTTTCAGATTAGTCATCTAATCCCAAGGTTGCAGAAAGCACTAGGCGATGGTGGGCGGTTGCCCACAGCCTAGAGCCTAGAGTGCCTAGGCGGCCTAGGTGGTTTTTTTTTTTTTAATAATAATTTTTTGATATAATTCTAAGAAAATAAGAAAAAAAATGTAAAACAATTTTAAAAATTATAAAATAAATAGAAAAATTAAACATTTTTTATTCATTATTATGTCTACAGAGCAGAATTTAAAGGAGTTACTTGGTATTTAATTTTTTTTAATATAATTTTTATAATAAATTAAATGACATCATTTCATTAGGCTAAAAAATTAATAATGCACTCTAGGTGCCATTAAGCATGCCTAATAGTGCCTGGATGTACTTAATTGATCTGGGTGATGCAAATCGCATTGAATTTCTGTGGGCGGAATGGCATCGCTTAGAGCCTAGGCTGATGCGGGTGGAATGGCTCTAGGCGGTGCCTAGGCGCCGCCTAGGTGAGCTTTTTACAACACTGTCTAATCCAAAGAAAGAGCGTAAATCCTTGAAGTCAAAACAAAAACAATAACCTGCAATACCAATTTGACCATAGGGAAATGGCAGTTAGTGGTAGATCTTTCTAAAGGTCAGCAAATACCTGGAGGTTATAAATTAAAAATATAAAAAACACTAAATAAAATAGATTACAACATGAAGACTGATAGCATGTAAACCATAAGGAACCCTGCACTGAACAGAAATTGCCAAAGAAATACCAGTGCCAAGATGCCAAAAAGCCACAAATACATTTACAACTACTAAAAGTTCAACTATTTAACATTTTCCAAGAGATTTGGTTGAAAGGAACATTTCCAAAAATACAGATATGAAGCTGCCACTTAAATCTAGCTCCACTAGAAATTAAAGACGAGAGTCATGTGGAATAAGCCCAAGAACGGTAAACTGAGTTCTGAAAAGAATACTACACTAAATTTTTTATATCTATTCATGAAGAGGTCAAAGATAATCCAGAACTATCATACCGAACTTCTTTTGAAATATATTCATCAGACCGAAACCAGTGCATAGAAGAATGACAAAGATAACACTAACCTTGTGTATTACACCAGATGAAATGGCAGATGCAGCTAGAGTCCCTCCACACTCCCATAAGATAGATAGGTAGCCCCGATCATGAAAATATTCCATAACTTCTCTGGGATTTAAGATGTCAAACTCCACTACTTCAACTCCTTTAGATGCAAGCAATTTCTGGAAACTCCTCCTAGCTCCTCTTTGTGTTACAACTATAGTAGACACCTCAGACATGTCCCAAATATTTGCTTCCTCTGGAAGATCAAGAGTCTGTGTCATTACAATCCGAATGGGCATATGCCCACCTCCATGCCTTGCAGTTAATCGTGGATCTAGGTGAAAAGAACAAATAGAAAATTAATTAAAAATTTCTAGAGCATAATTATCACTATATCAGCCAAAAAATGAATTACATGATCACTGATATACTTACTGTCCCTGCGTACAGTATTTCCACCCACTATAATTGCATCACTTCTGCCCCGTAGTTCAAAGACCCTATTCCTAGACATTTTGCTGCTTATCCATGCTGCATGACCACTACTGGCAGCAATTTTTCCTGTGAACACACCACAAAGTCTGTCAGCAAGGATTCTCAGTTTTAACTTCTTTTTATGCCACTTACATAAATACAGTTATATCATAAATAAAAATTATAAAGTTCTAAAGAAATCTGGGATTAGAGAATACACAATACACACCATCAAGGGTCATAGCATACTTAAGAACAGAAAATGGAACTCGAGAGGTAGCTCTGTGAATTAAAGGCAGATTGACAAGGAGGCATGATTTCCGAGCTTCCTGCAACAGAATATTCCCTGTACATTACACGTAGTGTGGAAGGCACCACTAATTTTGAAAAGCAACATGACTAAATATTACATAATCAAGTTATAAGACCAATAAACAAGGGAAAGTTAACAGAGAACACCATAAAGGCAGTCAAAAAATGATAAAGGGCATTCATCTATGATCCACAATTCCTGTTTCATCTAGCAAAGACTTGGTTTAGGTTGTCTTTTCCATACATCTCACATTACACTCAAAATACAAGAACAGAGTCCTCTATCAATAACTTCTCATAAACCTTTAAACTCCTGTACTCCTCATTATCCACAACTAGCTCTATGTGTGTATTCACAATTTAAGGCTTCATATAATCTTTCTAGAAATTTCTATAGTTTTTAACAAAAAAAGATGAATTATTTTCCAGCCTGTTAGCAAGAAGTCATACTCCTGATAGGGAGATATTACTACCAGGTGATTTCAGCAACCATTCATTAGAAAATAAAAATTTTAATATTTATACCTAGTATAATAATCACATCCATTCCCTAGAGGAGCATTGCACAGGGAAGTGTATACAACAGAGAGAAAAGAAAGGAATTTTAAGAGCCTAGCTTATTATTGCACATAGAAAATTATCATGTTTTAAATTATCTGCTAGGAAACCGATATTTCTGACGAAGATATTGCAGCACAATTTATCAGAGGAAGGAAGTTATCAGAAGAAGGAAGTAAAGGAGACAAATTTATATAAACAAAAGCCAAATTTTTTAACTAACCATATTCAAGGATATTGAGTGGATCTTGAACTAAAAGATAAATAGAAGAAACAAATGAGGCCAACCCGTGCGGCATGCCAAAAAAGTATTTAGATTTATACCTCCACAATCTTACTTTGCATATCCTCCCCCAGAACCTCAACATGCAAACCTTGACTCCTTAAGGCACGTATAGAATTGCCTCTGAGATGCTGCAAAGGATGCCTGATCCCAACAACAACTCTTTTGATGCCTGCCTAATCTACAAAATGTCAGTTACCTTCCTGCTACATTTACAATAAATTAAACAAAACCAAGTTTTATCCCCCAAAAAAAGAAAAATAGAGGAACAGATAAGACAATAAGTTCTATGCACACTTCATTCCTTTCAAAAGAAATTATTTTGAAATTGCTACAGAAGCAAATTTAAGAAAGGAAAATTGAAACCTGAACAAGAGCGGAGACAGCAGTGTGATCGCCATGGCAGTCACCGGGTTCCATATTGAGGTAGGCAGTGGCGCCTCTACAATGCTCGCCTGCGGCCTCCACCGCTTGGATCTCAGCGGGCTTCGTGCCCTGGGCGTACTGGTACCCCTCACCGGCGACATCTCCGCTTCGTGTGGCGATTACGCACCCGAAGTTCGGATGTGGAGACGTGAAGCCCGCAGATTTGTCTGCTATCTCGACGGCACGTCGGATGTAAGCAACGTCATGAACGTGGCGGTGGGAATGGTTGTTAGCAGCGGTGGCTTTGCAGATAAGGGGAGGGGAGTAAGCTCCCAGTGAGAGCGCCATTTTCCTTCACTCCATGTGGCGGGCTTGTTGGGTGATTTTAGCAGACGACCCTTGGGCTCTGATGGGCTGGTAAAGGGTCCGCCAGATTTGACAGCCCATTAACTTTGGATGGACTTTATGAGGCTTTTTCAATAATTTTTCAATTAAGCTCCAAAACTATAATTTTTTCAATAAAGACTCTTAACCTTTCCCTCAAATACCAAACGAAAAAGATCTAATTATAATGTCATATATAATTGACATTTTTTATTTGTAATCCATCTATGATACTGTATGATTGATTGACTCTAAGTAGCTAAATGTCTAAAAATTCAATCCTATGGATTTATGGCTATAGATTTACCAAAAAAAAAAAAAAAGAGGTTTCAGTTATTAATTAATTTTTTAATATGATTGTATGTTGAACTTGAGAAACAAAGAGTTAAGGTGCTGGAACAATCAATTATATTATATTTGATTGACTCTCCGTTATCAAATAATATATTTGACTTTTGAATTAATATGGTAAATTGTATTTAGGTATTTTAATATAAGAAAATTATATATTTGTTTTGACTCTAAAAAAAAAATTAGAGTCATAAACCTTAAATAATATCATTTCATTTAATTAAAACTTAATTTAAAATTTAGAAATCTACATTATTAAATTTTAATACTTGCATTTAAAAACTGATTATATATTCAAATATAATTGGTTTTCCAAATTCATGTATCAACATTTAATAAAATAAATTTCCAAATTTCGAATTAAGTTTTTGGTTTCTAAATGTAAGTATCAACATCTAATAAAATAGATTTCTAAATTTTGAATTGAGTTTTAATTAAATGAAACAATATCATTTAAAAGTTCAAACTTTAATTTTTCTAGAGTCAAAACTAATGCACAACTCTTTTAATATAATCGAATTTTTTTCTTATATTATCTACCCTAGAGTCTATATAAAGGTTATTACATATAACTCTCTCTATCTCAGCATAATAATAAAATGTCTTTTCTCTAGTTTTCTCCTCTTGCCTTTTCAACCTTAATGTGAAGTACATTGTTTTTTACAAAAAAAAAAAAAAGGATTGGGCATTAAAAATGGTAATCCTCTCTTTTACCTACATATCATGCAATTTGAATTTAAAATCTCTTATATTTAGCAAAAAAAAAAAATTATCATTACATTACTTACATAGTTGAAAAAAATACATTGTTAGTCTAAATATGTTTTTATTCCGATTCAGATTTATATTTATATACATATGTACACATTTTTAGAATATTTTATTAATATTTATTCTTAGGTATATACTCTCTCTGTTCCATATTAATAGTCGTTTTAGAGATTAAAATTTGTTTCTAAATATTTTTCGTTTTAAGATTTCTATACAATATTACTTTTTTTCTTTCAAATTTACCTTTCCTACTTACTCGTAATAAATACAAAATCCTAAAGCCAATGAACTAAAATTTCTCTCTCTTTCTTTCAATTCAAAGGTCATCTTTTCCCTACGTTTCTTCTACCAGTAGAGTCCTACAACAAGATAATCTTCTTGAAGGTTTCAAATTCCCCGATCTTGTTCTCACTCTACTGTTACTCTCCGATGGCTCCATCACTATGATTTGGTAAAACCCAATTTCTTCAAGGCAAGCAAAATATATATATATATATAAAGGTTGATTTCTTGAAACTAATGATTAGATGTTTTTTATGTATTTTTTTGGTACATTTTTTGTTTTTTTTTTTTTTTTGCTTTTGGAGTTTTGTCCGTTATGATGGAGTTAAAAAAAAAAAGGGGGGGATTAGCACGTGATAAATGGTAGAGCATTAGAAGGGTAAAATTGTATTTTAAATGCATTTGTTCATAGAATTAAGAGTAATTAATTGATTTCCTTAATCCTCGTAAAATCAGCTAAAACGACTATTAATATGGAACAAAGGGAGTATTTTTTAAGTTAATTTTTGTGTACTTCAAGCTTAATCTAGTCCTTTGTATTAATATTAAAACTTACTCCGAACCTAATTTACAAAATAACACTTACTTAACAATATATCAAACCTTTAAGCTTTGCATTTTCACAATATTGTAAGTGTTAAACCATTAAGTTGGTCATGGTCACTCAAATTTTGTTGAGTTTGTTATTTTGTAGTTCAGATTGCTGAATAACAACTCTTAAATGAAAGAGTACCCTAATATCACAAGATCTATCTTTCATGGGTAATGTTATTGTTATGCTCTCAATTAATAATGCTGACCTTTCAATTTTAATTGATTATTATATCATTTAATTTATTAAAAAATAAAAATATATGTAAATTTTTGAAAAAAAATATAATATAAAGATATAATAAATAATTATATTAAAAATATATGAAATTAATTATTTAGAATTGTCTCTCATTAGATAATAACCCCAATTCTCTCTCATCAAACAATTCATATTTTGCAATTTCAATTATAAATAATTTTAAAATTTTGTTTTAGAAAAATAACTGATGGGTTAAAAATTAAAAGCTGATGAAAAATAAATTAGAATTAAAATTTATTCGGTCGTCGATTATAGTGTGAACCCTATAGAAGGCAACAAGATTAAGGACGAGATTATTATTTGTATGCTTTTTGACCACTCATTTTCGTACCGAAATCTCTGCTACCATAATTGCATTTATGACCGTTATCTTGGCCACCTTCTATGACCCATATCTCATTTTTTTCCTTCTTCTTCTTTCGGGCCATCAGCCTATATCTCATCTCATGCAAATGCAATGGAAGGGAACTGTGCAAATATTGACCCTTTCAAGCATGAGATTTGCTGTGGTTGAGAGGTCCTTTAATGCAGCGCATGTGTGGGTTTGAAGCTTACCGACTCAAAAGATTTGTTATGTCCTAGAAAGTCAGCCCTTGTCAACTTCAGCCCCTCGTAATCATATCATACTCACAATTAAAATGTTAGAAATTATAATAAAAATATTTACCTAAGTATATTTTTAATAAATTAAAAAATAAAAAATATTTATTAAAAATATTTAAATAATTTTATAATAATTCAAACATTTTAAATATAAAAAAAACTTTTTATTTTTACTTTTCTCATCTTCTAGACTTTTATTTCATAATTATATAGTTAGATTGACAATTAGGCAAATATATTAGTTTCAGACTCATAAAGAAGTTTTATAATATTCTATATATCAAACATAAATATATATATATTCTATATATCAAACTTGAACATTTAAAAAAAAAAATAGAGCGATTTGAATAACTTATACTACATTTATAAAATAATAATTGAAAAGAAAACCTTGCATTAATTAAAAATAAAGATTAATTAAGACATCTTAATATTTAATATATTAAAATTGTCTTTAAAATTATTTACAGTAAAATTTTTTAACAATTTCTCTTATGTATTGATTTATTAAAAATATTTAAATTTAAAATTATTATTTTTAATATTTTAATTATCAAACTGTCGTAATTTTTTGGATTTCGAATTAACACTTCTTTCATTTTAAAATAACTGTTATTTTTTTATTTTGTTTTCTAAATTAAGAATTTTGGAGCAATTTATGTATTTATTTATATTATCTTTAAGAAAAAAACTAAAAAAAGTAAGATTTTTATAATAAGATAATTAATCAAAATAAATAAATAATAAAAAAGTTAAAGTAAAAAAAATTTATTTATTTTAAAAAAACAAAAAATAATAATTAATTTAAAATAAATTTAAAATTAAATAATGATAATTATTTTAGAATAGAAGAAGTATAATATAAAAGTAAAATATAATTTTGCATTTAACATATATACACATGGCACTAATGGCAGGATGTGAACGTGCCATGTATGTCAACCCTCCTTTCCGACCTTAAGGAGTTTCAACCCCTTATTATTATTAGAAGTTTAAATGTTAATTTTGGTCTTTTAATTTTAAAATTTTGTAAATTTTTTGTTCTCTAATTTTTTTATGCATTTTTTTAGTTTCTCAATTATAAAAAAATATAATTTTTTAGTTATTATGTCAGTCATTCCCTTAAATCTGTCTAAATATATGTATTTTTAATCCTTAAATTTAAAATTAAGGGCAAAAAAAATGTGCATGTATTATAAGTTAAGAGATTAAAAATGTGCATATATTATAAGTTGATAAATTAAAAATGTGTTTATATTATAAGTTGAGAAACTAAAAATATACATTGATTATAATTAAAGGACTAAAAATATACATATATTATAAGTTAAGGGACAAAAAATATGTATATTTAAACAAATTTAAGAAATTAACTAGTGAAAGAATTAAAAAAGGTATATTTTTTGTAGTTAAGGATAAAAAAAGTACATAAAGAAATTAAGGGAGGAAAATTGTATAAGACATAAAAGTTGAGGGACTAAAATTAATATTTAACCTTATTATAATTGGTTGATCTGGCATAACTATTTACTTATTATTTAAATAATCATATTTGTTTAAATAAATAAAGAGAACTGCTCATGATAATTGGTTTTTGACATGTCAGCCGCAAAGGTCAACGTTACATCTGAACAGGCTTTGAGATCATAAAGGATTTGATGCTTCAATCCAAACGTGTGCTTTCCTCACATTTCTAAAGCGCGTCATATGCACGCTTCAACCTTAATGTATCAATCTCATATCACGTAGAAACGAGACAAAAATAATCAAAGTACATTAGTGAAAAAAATGAAATCACATCTAAGGCCTCTGTACTTGGGAAAAAGCTTTTCTTCCCAAATTTTTTCTCTATATTAATTTTTTATTAAATATAAAAAGTTAATAATTTAACAAAATTCTAATTAAATCTTATAAAATTTATTAATTTTCTTTACAATACATTTCCAACCGTTTTTCTAATAAAGTTGGTTTGTAACTATACAGATCTTATAATCAAGAGGTTTGTTAGGTTGCGTCATAATAATTATTTTTTCTTGGCTAGGGTTTGGGTCGTGGGAGATTTTTATCAACGGTTGTTCGTATTCTTTGTGGTTGTTAGTTGTTACCTTTTGGCTTCTTTTTTTCCCTTTCCCTAGCCATAGTTTTGGTGACTGGAGGAGGGGTTGAGGAAACTATGGTTTTTGATCTTTGGTAGGTTGAGAAAATAGAGGAAGTGCCGGTGAAAGCCCAGGCAACATTGGCTAGAGGGCGATGGTTGGGAGATTTTGGCAGGTTCTGGAGGGAGGGTGGGAACAGTTGGATGCTCT